AAAAGACCACGACCATTATTAAAATTAAAGCGTAGATTAAAAAGAAATAAATTTTTTTTGATGAAACACAGATTAAGCAAGTTTACGAAAGAAAGGGAAAAAGAAATTAAAGAAACCAATCAAATTTAAGAAAAAAAGTAAACTAAGTATTTTAAGAAATTAAAACGAAAACTAAGATGTTTAAGAAATCAAATTTAAAATCAATAAAAATCAAATCAAATTTCTAATTTAAAAGAAATTAAAATGAGATTAAGAAAAAAATAAAATAAAATTTCAAAACAATTTAGAGGGATCACAAAAATAATTATCTACAAATCTCATAGAGATTCAAATTGGGTCATTGAGTCATTCAATATAATATAAAACTCTAAAAAATTCTAAAATTGGATCAAAAATAAATAAATAAAATACCATTGATTTTCATCGAGAAACTCCAAAGAATACTAAATCTATGAAGATTTATTGAAAGTTCTTTCCTTATTCCTGGGTTCTCTCTTCGATGACGTTTAAAAGAAAGGTGGTCAAGCGATTGGAACAATAAGAACACAAGAAAAAAAACCTTCAAACAAAAATTCTTCTTTTATTACTCTTCTTTTTACAAAAAAAAATCACAGGCTCCTCACTTTTTCTCTTTCTCTCGCTTCTCTCTTTCTTCTCTCTTTTTCTATACATTTTTTCTGTGTGTCCTAAAGAGATGAAGAAGACCACTATTTATAGTTGAGTCTCCTTACATCTAATGGTCTAGGTTATTTGTTGGGACCGTCGGCGCACCCCATGGCACAGCGAAAACAAAACTCGACGGTCTCACCAACGATCCAAGTATGAAAAACCAAAATCGGGAAGAAGATATGCGAATACTTACAGTGGGTTCCTTGAAAACAGCAAGAACAACAGTGATTACGGTGGTGTAGATCGATTCGAATCGAAAGCCTCCACGAAATTACGTCTCGGCCTCTACTCAGTTCACCCGATTGAGAGCAGTATTTGTTTTTCCCAAAATTGTTTTGAGAGAAAATAGCTGAAGGGTTTGTGTGTTTGTTGCAAAAAATGGCTGCTAGACCTAACACGCCCTTTTATAGCCAAGTTACCCTAATCATATTAGGGTTTTATTATTTCAAATTAATTAAATCTATATTTAATTAATTGGAATTTAATAATCCTCTTATATCCAAGTTACCCTAATCATATTGGGGATTTTATTATTTCAAATTAATTAAATCTATATTTAATTAATTAATTGAAATTAAATATTCGGGATTATTAAAACATATATTTTAGTAACGTACAACAAATTGTACATCTTTGCTCGTTTCAATCCTAGGGTGTGACCTTGTAGGTTCTTGAAACTTTAGCAGTAATTATTAGAACAATTCTAATATTACATACAATGAGTGACATCTAGCAATATATCATTGTCACCTAAGTTACAAGAAAATATGATTCGACATATCACCTTGGTGATTACTCTTTTATGTATTACATCCTTATGTCCTTTATATCTAGAATAGGCACAAGTCTTGGAATAGTCACACTTGTATAGCCCATCTATTGTTTCTTGATATCTAGAGTAGACTTTAATTAACGAATAGTTTATGATATCTCATATCAACTTATTCGAGCATGGCCATGGATTTCTAGTCTTACTCAATCAAGTGGCCTGTGATATATTTCCTATTATGTAGGAAGGACAAATCCTATCTTAATCATACACACCCACTGCATATATTGAAATATATTCAATAATAGTCTTTATAGAGCAACCAGTTACGGAGCTTGTTTAGCTGCATCAAAACATACAACAATATATGTTGGGATAGTATTGATCTCAAGTCTGAGGATCATACATATAGTCATCACCATGAGCAATGTTATGTCTGTCACATAATAATCCAAGACATATGCTCATGGTCGGTCGATCCAATACATTGTTCTCTAACAATATAATCATGTATCAATTCTGACATCCCTATGTCAATGACAACTCATTGTCATCAATCAATAACATGTTAGTCTTAAGCGTATTATTATTGTCCATGCCCATAATAATACTTGACTATGGATCTTTTAATAATAACAATTATGCCATTATATGAACTTTATTATCTTATAGTTTATGTTAAACACATATATGAAAATAATAGCGGCAATGTCTTTATTCAATAAAATGGGTAAATAAAATTATTATTACAACCATCATATGATTGGTCTTTGAGCATACTCTAATATTATTTACATCGACGACCTAAATTAAAAGCATATTTACCCAATCCCTTATTAAAGAAAATTAAATCAATCTTATCAATACATTCCATAGATATGATATTGCATGAGATATCAAAAGAAATCAAAGAGAATTTTCTAATTAGAATTAAACCCATTATTATTTTTATAATTTATATTAAATTAACAGGACAAAAATAAGTGTCTACATCTATATTTTACCCATTAATTAAATGAGATTGTTCTTCTTCTTTGCTTTATTTATTTGTACGGTGTATTTTTGTGGTTTTAAAAAACTTTTATGGAAAAATATTGTGAAAGATGTGTGCCAGCTAGGGGTGTTCATTCGGTTAATTCGGTGGCCGAACCGACCGAACTACCATTTTCGAATTAACCAAACTTTTTTTTTCTTTAACCATTAACCGAACCAAACTTTTTTTCGAAAATATTAACCGAACCGAATAAATTTCGGTTAATTCGGTTAATTTTCGAATTAACCGAAATTTTTTAGAATTTTAGAATTTAATATTTTTTTAATTAAAAAAATAATTTACAATTAATTTAAATAATATCTAATTATAAATCATATCTAATTAATTTGATTCAAACATTTTGCATTTAGTTTTGATATTATTTTAATTAATTAATATTGATTTGGGTTTTAAATGGATTTTAAATGGATTGGGCCTCTTAATATAATTATATTTAAAGGTTAATTCGGTTAATTCAGTTAATTCGGTTAATTAACCGATTTCGAACCGAATTCCAAAAAAATCCTTAACCGTTCTCCGACCGAATTAATTCGGTGACCGACCGAATTAACCGAACTAATTCGATTCAGTCGATTAATTTGATTAAAACTGAATTTTGAACACTCCTAGTGCCAGCTCCATTATTTTGTGGTCTTATCAATATTGTTGAAACACTATAACAATTGAAGACAAAGACAATAATATTTAAGATAGAAAAAATAAAATAAAATTCAACATAAAACAAAATTTGACTAAAATTTATTTATTTATTGATAAATTATTATTTTTGGATTATCAAAAAATTTAATTATTATATAAAAGTTCTCATCTTTAGCAGTAAAATGAATTAATTATTGCATGTAGATTAAGGTTGCTAATATTTTTTATTAATGCTAATGTATTCATAAATTTATACAAATTAGTAACTTTTGTGTATATTGTTCATACTATAATTATTTTTATGAGGTATTTAATGATATATTGTGTTTATGAAGAAGATTAAATGAAACTGCCTCTTATTGCTCATTAGTGATTACAACATTTATTATATACTTTTGTTGATTTTATACATCAAATAATTTTATGCTTTTCAAAAAAAATTAAAAATCACAAATTATTATTTTTTATATTCTTAAACAAATTATAATTTTTTTTATATATTTTCAAAACTGTTTTTGAAAACTTTTTAATGTTTCAAATTATTATTAAAAAAATAGTAAAATATTAAAATAAAAATTTAAATAAAGTTGAGAGATAAAATGAGATATTAACCATTAATTTTAATTGTCATATCATTAGAGACTGACTTGACTCGACCCAAAAATTTTATATCCTTCATCTGACTCGAATCTGACCTGAATTTTTGAGATAAAATTCAAACCCGATCCGACTCGACCCAAAATAATAAAAAAATATTATTTTTATTCAATAAAAATAGAGATTTAATTGGAAAAAAACATATAAAGGGGTATTATTATAAATTTTCTTAAATATATAAGTTAAAATTATATTTTTTCGGATTGAATTATGTATTTTCACCCTAAGCCTGAACTCGACTCGTACATCACATTAAAAAACCTGACCCGATCCGATTTGAACCCGGTTTTTTATAATAAAAAAATCCAACCTAATCGGATCGGAACCCGTTGAACTCGGATCGAAACCCGTTGAACTCGGATCTCATGCCCATCCCTACGTATCATCCTAGTTAATTACGTAACCACTTATGCTCGTTTTACAACATATAATCACCGGCCTATATAAATCTCTTCTTCACTCAAATATGAAAAATAGATAATAAATATTAAAAATAAAACAATGAAAAATAAAGGGTTTGATGGGTAAAATTGCAGATTAAGGACTTATTTAAGCATAGTATATTAATTTGAGGCTTTTTAGTAAATTAACCAATAATATAGTACAAGTCTTATAAATAGGGATGAGCACGAATCGGGTTTGGGTCGGATTTCGATCAACCCGACCCGACCCAAAAATTTTACATCCTCTACTAACCTGACCCGACCCGGAAATTTTACATCCTCCACCCGACTCCACTCGAAATAATATATTTATTAAAAATATTATTTTTATCCAATAAAAATAAGGATTTAATTAAAAAAATATAATATATAGTGAGATATTATTGTAATTATCCTAAATATATAATGTAAAATTATATTTTTTTGGGTTGGGTTGGGTCGGATATTTTTCACTCTAAACCCGAATCCGACTCGGTCCGAACGCAACATCTAAAACCTTTTTTTAACATAAAAAATCTGACTCAATCGGGTTGGAACCCGTTAGGTTCGAGTCTCAAGTCCATCCCTACTTATAAATGGGCCATTATCAATGGACCATAGTAAACCAATAAAACTACGGGCTTAAAAAAATCCAAAACTATTCATTAAAGCCCAAAGTTTCCATCTTTTTCCTCACTTCTTTCTTCATTTTCGAATCTTCTCTGATCTTTCCAACCCTAACTAATAGCTGCTTTTTTTTATTCTTTTTCCCTGTTCAGTTTTCCAATTCTTCAAAAACTAAAAACCAAAATTTGACGTTTATGTTTGTTAAGTCTTCTTTAAATTTCGACCGGAAGACTGGAACATTGAACGGCGTCTTTTAAAAGATTTATTTCATGTGATTTTGTTTGAGATCAGTTTAGTGAGAAGGAAATGGGTTTTGCTGTATCCGATGAATTATTGGGAACTGTGGTTCCGATTGTTGTTTATTGGATTTATTCAGGGATTTATATGTGTTTAGGTTCGTTTGAGAAGTATAGATTGCATCCTAAAACAGATGAGGAAGAGAAGAATTTGGTTTCCAAACGAACAGTCGTTGAAGGCGTTCTTTTTCAGCAGTTTCTTCAAGCTGCTGCCGCGATCCTTTTGTTCAGTGTAAACCCAACAACACTTCTATTCCTTACTTTTTATGATCATGCTACTTTTTCAAACATGGATCTGAATTTTTGGATTTCAGTTGCTTGGTGTCAAAATGTCAAATTCTCTAACGCTACCTTTATAATTATAGTTGAAATTTTGATGGCAGGCCTCATGTTTTGATTTGATTTTAGAGAACCGAATGATTGCAGGTGCTGGGTTTCGTTCAAAATTCTTGTTTTTTCTTTGACTGCAATTTGGTTATTTTTTGGGGCATGTATAAGCTCAATCGAATTACCTTCCCTGGAGAAGTTTTTTGTTAGGTTATTCACAGGGTCTTTAGTTTTTCTTTGCTATAGTGTTAAAATTAGCCCACGACGTTTATCAAAACGGTTATTGTGGCTCAAGGTTTCATGTTAGGGTGAGGACACCCTCTATGGATGGAAATTGTTTGTTAGCAAACGGTTAATGCTTCAAAATATGGGTCTTGAGGGTCAAAATGCTCTAGAAATAAAGAATAAGAGTTAAAGTGACTATTCAGTCAAATGTTAGATAACTATTTGCCCTAAAATGATACATTGGGGCCAAAATGCTTTAAAAAAATGAACAGAAAGCAAAATGACTATTTTAGTAAATTTTGAGGTTAATTTTGACATTATGCCTTTTTCTTTTACCTCCATTAGTTATGTCAAGAATTTGACTGTCACTTGTTTTTCTTAGAAAGTAAGTTAGCAGACAAGATTTGACCAATTGCGGGGTTCCAAATTCTTACCTTTGATTGCTTTGCAAATATGATTGCAAAAGTTTGGAGTTAATTGTTTGCATCATCCCATTGCAAATATACAAAGTTGGATGAATAATCTTCAGGTATAAATAATCAGCCATGCGATTTGATTTCTCTTGGACACATCAAAGATTATAAGCAAAGAAATACTTAGCTATAGAGCATATGAGGATTGTCCCTGGATAACTAATCAGACTCTTAGCTTATCTACCTAAAGTGCTCGTGTCCAACACATATTTGAGCATAGGTACGTGGATGCTATTCTCCAAATATATGAAAGAACTTGGGTCTTGGTAGATAAAGGTGTAATTGTGCGGCATGTGGAGAGAGCAGTTAATTGGGAAACATATCAATTCGCCAAATTAGGGATTGGTTAAGTGCAGGGGATTTATTTTTGTTATTGTTTAGTTCCTAGGGAATATTTGACAGCTTAGGTCATTGTTTAAGTTTGTTCCAGGCTGAGTCATATAAGGAGGTTGTTTTTTGTAGGGTAATTATTTATGTTTTATTGTAGTGAATCTTTGCACAGTGTTGAGAACTGCCAAGGGTTCTTGGCGGTATTTTGATCTTTTTGTACCTGGGTATTATGCAATAAAATTTCTTAGGCACACTTTTCCTCCTTCCAATGTTCGTCAAGTCTTTGTTGCTTGACGGATATGAAGGGGGGTTTTTAATGAGGCATTCCTTATTATCAAAAAAAAAACATAGCTCTGAACTGTAATTTCACCTGAAGTCGGACTGTAATTTTATGTGCTTTTCTTCATATGCCCTGAATAAACTGTCTTTAGGATTTATGCTTTATTAGATAGGAGCTGGGCAGAGTAAATTTGGAAATATAGCCTTGTTATGAATTGTGTTCTTTAGTTTAATGGCATTAATCTACTTTTATCAGTAAGCACAACCACATCAAATTTCTTTTATTTTAGCACTGGTTTCACATGTTTCTTTGTTATCTTGTCTAATCTGGGAGCTGTTCCCTGTTTCTTTTGTTTCTTTTACTCCACTTCTGATTTGTAGTTAATTGAAATCCGAAATCCCTTAAGTTTTCTGGCATGCATAATGAGCCATATAAGCAAATTTCAATCGTGAAATCATATCGATGTTGTACATTTTTATCAAACATTGTTTTCTGCAGGTCACAGGGGGTCAGACCGAGGGTTCCCCTCAGCAGCCATCTTCCTTCATTATTCTAGCCAGACAGTTTCTTACAGCAATGTTGGTTATGGATACATGGCAATACTTTCTGCATAGATACTTCCACGAGAACAAGTTCTTGTACCGGCACCTGCACTCTCAACATCACCGTCTTATCGTTCCCTATGCATTTGGAGCTTTGTACAATCATCCATTAGAGGGGCTTCTCCTCGATACAGTAGGCGGGGCATTATCATTTATGCTCTCCGGCATGTCCCCTCGGACCTCCATCTTCTTCTTCTCGTTCGCTACCGTCAAAACGGTGGATGACCATTGCGGGCTAATGCTCCCAGGGAACCCCCTCCACATCTTCTTTAGAAACAATGCCGCATATCATGATGTCCACCATCAGCTTTATGGCAGCAAATATAACTTCTCACAGCCATTCTTCATCATGTGGGATCGAATTTTGGGGACGTATATGCCATTTTCACTTGAGAAGAGAGCAGAAGGGGGATTAGAAGCTCGGCCAACTAAAGGGTTCAAAGAGGATTAGAATCCATTTGTTTGCTGCAGAACAAACAAGTACCTCCTGTATTTTTCTTTTCCTTTTTTTGTTTAATTCATCCATCATTCATCAAATTTTTGTGTTCTTACACCTATTTCCGTTTTTAGAAGTACTAATGGCATCCACTAGTTTATTAGTTTAGATATTTGTCTATTTACGTCGGACTATTGTATTTTTTTTCTGTCGTGTAATTTAAGTATTATATAAATTATTGTTTTCGTTTTTCGTCCTCATACGTTATATTTAATTTATCAAAAACACAGCAGCTCCATTTCTTTGACCTTCCTTCAAATTAAAGTTTGAAACTCAAGCACATACAAATACAATAAAATATATATTATATCTTCAATATAAATATTATATCTGACCAGCTTTCTCTCTGTCTATGAAAATAAATAAAATATTACTTTCATAAACATGTTGCTAGTCCAGCTCTTTTTCCCCTGGATTCCCTCTTTCACAGCCTGCTAAGTTTTATACTGGAAGAATACGAAACAAATTGCCATGCACCATTATTTGGGTTCGTGCAGCCATATCCATACTGTTTTTTTACTATAATTTTGCATATAAATATTTTGGGTAAACTGCGGAGTTGGTCACTTTTGTTTCATTTTTTTAAACCAACGGTCACTTATCCAAAAACGTCAATACTTGGTCACTTTTGTTTCGTTTTAATTAAGACGTGGTTATTGAGACGTTAGCTGTTGTGAGTTGGATGACATGTCACGTTAGTAAAAAGGTTTAATTTTTATTTGAACCCTTAAACTTGAGATAAATTACTACTTATGGGTCTCTAAGTAAATCTAAAATAATTCAGGGATAAAAAATAATTAACCCCCTTTTCCCGTATGTTTTATTCCTAAATAAAAAAATGGAAAATCCATAAAATCAAACCCCAAATTTCATTTTAATTATGTCACCATTCCATCGATCCCCCGCCACCTTTTGGTCACCGGTGACCCTCACTGCCGATGCCATCGTGAGCGCCTAATCAAAACGATCAAAACCACGTTGAGAGTGTCCCGTGAGTCACTTCCGTTCAACGTGGAAAGCTCGTCGAAGTTCTATCGGAGAACTCAAAACCACCGCACTGTTATCAACGAATTTCGACCGATCCAATCATCCTTAGGCCTCACTGTCACCATCCATGTGCTTCCCAACGTCTTGCAAACCAAACCCAACCCAACCAGTGTGAACATCCCCGTCGCCGTCGTGGAAGGGGTGAAGCGTGGAGGGTATGGGTTTGTTGATAAACATATGGGAAGAATGGGTAAATTGATATTTTCTCCCTGAATTATTTTGGGTTTACAAAAAGACCCATAATTAGTAATTTATCTCAAGTTTAAGGGTTAAAATTAAAATTAAATCTTTTTACTAACGTGCCATGTCATCCAACTCAAGGCAGCTAATGTCTCAATGACCACGTCTTAATTAAAATGAAACAAAAGTGACCACATATTGATGTTTCTGGATCGAGTGACCATAAGTTTAAAAAAATGAACAAAAGTGACCAACTTTGTAGTTTACCCAAATATTTTCACTAAAGAGCAACAAGATTATATAGATTCAAGGATTGACAAAGGGGCGTGGCGGGACAGATTTCTCATATAATTTAAATATTTTCTATTAATAATCTGTTTTTGTCCATAAAATTTTAAAAGTTCGTCCTCAACATAAAAATTTAGATTCGTTCTTGTATAAATCTCTAGGTTGTGTATTCATTGTAGAAAACCCAGAAATAACCTGAGAATGAACTTGTAACTAAATGCTTATTCAAGTTATAGCTTCAATAGATGATTGATTTTCTAAGCATCAGCCTTGGCTTCAGCACAAGCTCTTTATTAGTAACTCTGCCTACCTGAAGCTACAATTATGGTTTGAATGGCATTGCTAAGTGCTCCATAAGATTGGCTTGGATTTCCCGATGGGCTGGCATCTGCCCAAGTTTTGTCGGGTTTGGCATCATAAATTAGGATGACCAATCTATTTTAATGGGTAAGGAAGTGGTGAAAGTCGAAAGCCCAAGAAACATTTAGAAGGTTAGTTTAGAAGTTGCAGAGGCCTGGCATGCAACAGTATGGTGTAAGGGAAAGAAATAGAAAAAAAGGACTAAATTGATAGAATATTAAAATATTGAAGGTTAATTTTTAAGAATTATGATTAAATTAAATTAAAGTATAAAAAACGAGGGTTAAATTTATTATTATGTCAATTCTGCTAACTGTCATGCCATCTACCATAAAAATAATTAGGTCGAGTAACTAAAATTGTAACCTTAGTGGGAAAAGAGAATATTATTTTCCCTATAAGTTAAGAGGATCCGGGTTCAAGAAACTTTGTCTGTAGGATGTATGGACGTTATTAGTGACTAAGGAAAATTCTGAACAAATATTATATTGTAATCACCCCGGACTATTAAAAAAATATTAAATCGAGTAACTATCTTGTAACTTTTCATAATACGATGAATATTTTACCATATTATTAACTAATTTTATAACATTTAAAAAAATAATATTATTGAATTTTTACTATTTTTTACATTTAATATTAATATTTTCTAGTTTGAGTCTTATATATGTTCCCATCTTATTTTCCTCTTTAAGCTTATCATCCTCCTATTGGGTGATTAAATTTATTAAATTATTCTTAATTAAAATTAGGATTAATTATGTTATTATATATAAATTTATTTAAGCATCATGTCATCAATACATTAACAAGTAGCGATTGATGTGACATGATTGAAATCAAATTGAATGTATATCGACCTAATTGATAATCTTTTTTACTTTAGTGCTCAAAATAGAATCGAGCCAATTTTAATGGCCTTGGAGATAGTTTACTCTTAGCTTTTTAAAAAGAAATAGTTTGATAACTAAAAACAATAATAATTAGATGGCTGATGATATAATTTACAGTAAAATTTAACTTAGTTCGAGAGTAGGGGCGGACCCAGGGGTAGCACGGACAACCCCTCAAATTGTGAGGAACATTGATCAAATGTTATTATTTTAGTATTTTTATATATATATTTTGTGATTTTTAAGTAGAATCCCTATATTTCAGTTAAATTCTTATAGAAAAAAAAATTTATACAACAAAATTGTCTACTTAGTGTTAATTTTTTCTAATTTTTTTAATTAATACAAGTGTCACCTTTAATATTATGCAATCCCTAAAAAAATTTATAAGAATTCTTTTGTGTAACCCCCTGAATTTTTGTTCTGGGTCCGCCCCTGTTCGAGAGACTTTCACCCATTTAACAATGAGCCAACACTCGTACCAAAGTTATTGAACGTATAATCTCTAGGAATAACATCTCTTTAATTATTAAAATTATTTGATTCGTTACCACTACGAAAGATTCACAAGAGAATGTAGTGTATAAGAGAGAGATGGGTTGTCACGCTGTACCTCTCACCGCCCTAACAAGATAAATACCTGGCAAAACGAGGGTGTTTGTTATCAATCATCATCATATGCCATTGCTGAACTGGCATGACGATGGTGGTTAATACCCATTAATTTTGTCTTACCTCACTACCAAAACCCTAAAACAATGTTTATCATCCCGTTTTGGGTAAGTATAGCATCCTAAAACTCATTTGCTTCTATAATCAGAGTTAAGCTAAGCAGATTTACGGCTTTTCACTAAGAACCAACATGCCGATCGATACGTGTGTTTCAGGTTCACGAAAACATTTCGTGATGACAGACAATCAATTGGTTTCAATAAAAGAAAAAGGCCCTTTCGGCCCCTCATCCTCATTGGAGAGTTCAAAGTGGTCCCACACCAACTCAAAGGCACGGCTCTTATCCAAGGTTTTCAATGCAGATAGCTAACTATGTACCTAACCAAACATCCCAATATTCTCTCACTAGGCTTCAGAATTATGTTCTCCATGTTTTTAGTTCTTGGGCTGTCACATTTATGGTATGTGTATCTACCTTTGCCCTTCCAGTTCATTCCTTGTTGATCTGCTGAGGAAACGACAGAAAAAATTGGTTGCTTGGAATCAAGATTTTATGCTAGTTGGACGAAAACATATTACCAATAAAAAAATATACAAAAAAATTCTAAATTAAAAAAGTTGGTGTCAGGCCAGCTTAAAGTAATATTTATGGCTGTTATTTTTTTTGGTTACCTTCCATTCGAAAGCTTCGCCTTGACTAATTTGTGTTAGTTAGGATAGCTTAGCTTTGCTTTCTGTTAGTGCAGTTACTCAGCTGTGGCAATTATACTGTTAGGGTTGCCTTAGGGTTAACTGCTATTGGGTGTGCTATATAGTCAGATGTATTCTTTGTATTTCTGCAAGCAATATACATCAAGATTTCAGTGTTTCTTTTATTCTATTTGCTTTATGGAAATACTCAACATGGTATCAATCGCCAGAAGTTCATGACGGGCACTGTTTATTTGCTTCTTGAGCTTCTGCTTTGTTCATTCTGTAATGGCTCCAAGTAGCTTTGATTTGGTTGGAGGCGATTCAGGTGGAGGGCAGACTGATGTGTTTTCAAGAACGGCCAAGAATTTCACCAATAAAAAGGTGAATGTTGTCCTTGATGAATCCAACTTCCTTCTATGAAAGCAACAGGTGCTTCTCACCGTGAGAAGTCATCGTATTGAGCGGCTGCTTACCGGGGCGATGAAACCTCCAGCTGAGGTGATTGCTGATGAAAATGATGATTTGGTTTCGAATGAGGCATAGGAAGAGTTTATTACTCAGGATAGTGCCTTAGCATCCTGGTTGTTGTCGACTATAAGCAACCATTTGTTGTCCCAGTTTGTTGGAGCTGAAACGGTAGCGACAGTTTGGGGTACGTGCTCCGATTCTTTGCTGATCGATCCACCACAACCGTAATGAATTTGCATTACAAATTACAATCTATTAAAAAGGGAGACGACAGTATGAGGGTCTATCTTACTCGCGTTAAAGTGTGCGATGCTCTCGCATCGTGTGGAAGTTCAGTTCCCTTAGTTGAACACATTACCGGTATATTAAAAGGGTTGCCAAGGGAGTATCAACCCTTCATGGTTGTGATATCATCAAATTGTGACTCTCTTTCTCTGAACAAAGTTTACACCATGCTTGTAGATGCCGAGACTCAGTTGGCTAGTTTTGCTGCTCAAGAGGAAATAATCTGTAAGGTATGACTCATAAATATACGGGTAAAAAGGATAAGGTTAATTTTATAATTATGTACCAGGATTTTCTATTA